TTGAACAATTTACCATCTGTTACACCACGAGACAAACATAACTCCTCTAAACGCTGCAAGAATGCCTTTACACAGGTTTTCCCATTAAACCGTATGTTTAGTTTATGTACGGCAGCACCAGAGTCAGGGGAAGCATTCCCAGTGCGTTCAGAAGCAGCATGGACTCTGCTATTCTCTTCCGGAGGCACCTGAGTTAAACTACTCTTAAAATGGTGCATAATGTTATCTAACTTAACCAGAAACTTGTCCAGACGTTCTTGCAGCGCCTCCAATTGAGAGGCGATGCTGTCATCATTATCAGAATCTAAGCGACTAAGTCTATGAAACAAGTGATGTGCTAATGATTGTATTCTGTTCAGTGCTTTAAGGGAACTAGCTCTAGAAGAAGTTTGAGAAGTAAGATCATCTAAACTGTCTAATTTCTCCCTAATAATATCCAACTCTGATTCTATCTCTACTTCACAAGTTAATATTTCATCAGAAGGTAAATCTTTATTTAAAGCACGTACTTGTGCCTTTAAAGCAGGCACCCCGTCCACAGGCTTCGCACCCCTAATTCTGACTTCATATTCCAACTCATCTTTGTGTAACAAGTTAAAAGTGATTGGCCTCTGTTCCATTTTGTAAGTTAAAATTACTCCTAGTGTGGCAAAATAAAGAAATGTTCAATAACAAAGTGTAATTAATATGATAATAAAATCACCTACCTGTTAAGATATATCAGTTAAAATAGTAGTGTTGTAACAAGTGTGGTTTCACACCTGAGGGTTGAAAATTGTTAGGTTCTAAAGGATTAGGTTTCTCAATGTTAGGTTTCTTCTTGTTAGGTTCAAAAAAGTGAGGTTGGTGAACTAACCTACCAAAAATCAGTACACAAGAGGGTTTTTTTTTTTTCCTTTAAATAAGGGTATAAAAAAGTAAATATGACTTTTTTGATTGTAAATTTTGAGCCAATATCGATCATCCGATGTTACAAATTATTATGTTTACAACACAGTATAACCAGATAAACAAATCTTTGGATATAAGCCAAATAATTCAGAGAAAAAAGAAAAATTAAAAAAAATCACCAATATCGATCAACCTTTTTTGAGCAAAAATGACCAAAAAAAAGAGCAAAGTAAATGCTACAAAGCCTTGCTTCCACTTGTTCGGGCGCCACATGTGATGTTAAATTCCCCTCCACAGCTCTTTACTAGCTTACTCAGAGCACCGGGGGAACCATAAAAGAAAACCAAAAATTAAGATAATGTTATAAGTATATTTTATCCACTTTAGATACCAAAGCATAGGAATTCAGTAGTTTTAAGTTATTGCTTATATAAATCAACAAGTCCAACTATGTTTATTATTTATATAATAACTATGTTTCACTAATTATAAATATCTAAGCTGAATACAGTAGTTCAAAGTTAATGTGTATATAAACCAACAAGTTGTCATGAAAGGTTATAATTATATGAATATCAAACATTCATAACACTTTACCATGTACTTACAATATAATCCTTACTAATATATTTTATCCACAAATACCACATAGACTAGACTGAATAAGCTATTGAGTGGATTTCAGAGGTTCTACGGCTCGTTTGATCGATATTGGTGACAAACTTAGTTAATTCTAGTTCTCAGTGAGATAACCAGTTATATAGCTATATGTTTATATATGGAAATGGGTAAGTCGGGGTCCAACCTCGCCTGTTGTTTCCTTTTCACGTTCACCCGGGGTTAGTAGAGAAATACCTTGATTATGATAGGTTAAGCTGTGTATAATCTGTCTGCTGTTCGGCCGGGTTACATAAAACCGGAGAGCGGCTGGCAAATAAACTCCCGCGCCCCTTCTGGTCCGTGCACAGAACAAAAGTCTCCTTGTTAGTCCTCCAGTATTTCTTGAGGGGAACGTACAAGCCTGAAGTTCACATTGAAAAAAAATGATCAGATATGGGGAAAATACATAGATTACCACATCTGTGGTGGGTGAGGGAGTGAGGGGTATTCACGGTCAATGTTTACACTTTAAAATTTGAATCAATACAGGACTGGGGGCCCGTCCCACCCGGTTTGAAGAAAATCAATTCCACGTTCACTAACTTGACAAGAATGATTAGGTATATTTGATGACAAGAATCACTATATGGTGCATAATGCAGTTCAATTAGTGCTAGGAGAATAAATATGAGGCCAGATGATAGCTTACCGTTCGAAATATGAAACTATCCGTAAGTATTTTGTTTCCTATCACAAGTTACCGCCTTATTATTGCAATCGCCTCGCGAAGGTTCGTGTTCGTCCACCTACGATACAGAATATCAACAGAAAGGTTATTTTCACAGCCCAAACTTGCAAATTATGTAGGAAAAAGAGCCACTCCAATATACCTACGAAACTCAGTTCGGTTAGCGACTCCGCGCTTTTTCCGCCAATATCCTTCGGGATATAAACTTTTCGGATCTATCTCACGACTTCGACGACAATAATATGCCGTTTATTATACTTTGGGCAGAAGAAAAGATGAAAAGTTAACTGTACCACAAACAGATTGTGAAATTTTAAAAGTTGTTTTGACAATTGCTCATAGATGATAGACGGATCGTCTTCTCCCAAACATGTGTCTATGATTTGTTTCCCACTTCAACTGAAGGCAAAGGCCACAGTCAAACAGACAGCCGCCGCATTCGAGACGAACCGAAGAATAAACTCAAAACTATATACCTACGCTTGCCGTAAGCTGAGGAAAAGGGAATACCTACCCGAATCAGCGAGGAAATTCAATTTCGAGTAAAATTCAAAATCGATTAAAAACAGCACCCGATAATGAGGACTCAAATCGATCTGGGAAAGACTATTCAAAATTCAACAACTGTCAAACTCCATCCATTCATCCACGTGCCCCCACAGAGATTCCCCGCCTGACTACTTTTTTTTTTTTTTTTTTTTTTTTATAAGTCTCAAGGCGAATATTTTAGTCGAATAGGAAAATCGACTCTTCCCTCAAGGCTACCAACCCAATCAATGAAGTTTGACAGCTACGCTGACGTAAGCGGTTCGCTATCATAGACAAAACAGCTGTCCTACGTGTGTCAGTGTCACGCTCTGTTTAAAAACAAACACTACAGTCAGGAATCGATTTGTCTGATTGTTCATAGCTGAAAGGTATTTTAATTAACTTATTTAATTACAACAATTATATAATAATGTAAAAGGAAAGGTTAAAATGGCGAGCCAACGTGACTAAGGAGTGAAGGAAAATTCCACATCAAATTTACTGTACCGCGAAATTAGATCGTATTATGCTACGTCAGTTCTTTCTTTCTTTGATTCTACTACGTAGCCTTTTCCTGATTCACAATATTTTACAAAACGACTAAATTTAAATTATATGTACTTCCTTTTTAAGTAAATTCTTCTAGTAATTAGTTTAAAATACGATTCTCCACCTCGAATGCCCCGAATGCATCGAACGCTCCTGTCTTTCCCCTTTCCGTGTCTCCACGTCTCTATTCAAAAAGATCATTTCTATTATCACCACCAAATCAGAAAGTTAAAATTATTTAGATTCTCATTTATTCTGTGTTACGACCTTCCTTAACTCGTAGAGCCAATTATGTTTCACGCCCTCGGGTTTTTTCCTCACTTTTCTTCTACGTAAAACCTTTTTTTGGGATGAGTAATTTTTTTTTTGCCTATTATTTTCGATATTGTTTTAATTTAAGTCGCCCTTTATCGCTTTTTGAAAGTCAAAATGGAATAAATATATAGCTTACTTATGTCTTAAGCAGGAATTTTATGACTTCAAATTAGTTAAGTGCCGTACCTTGGCCCAACCAAATTTCGTCTTTTGGTCTTGTAAGGTCGTTTCTTTTGTATTGGGGTTTGGTATTTTTTGAGAGCTGTCAGTTCCGTTTATAAATTTATTCGTAAATGTGAAACATCTTGACGACCTCTTTGGCCGAGTGGTTTGTACGCCGGTTTTCATGGTGTCGCCGACTCGAGAGGTCCCTGTTCGAATCCCGGTGGGGGCACATGTTTGTGTGATGAATACGAGCGTTTTTACTACAGTCATGGATGTTTAATATGTGTTTCTATATTAATATACTTATAATGTACAGTATATTATGTATTCTATTCGTTACCCTAGTATCCCATAACACAAGCCTACAGTGCTTACTTTGGGGCTAGGCTAATTGGTGTGAGTTTAGAAATATTTATTTATTATCTATAGGCGCACGTAAAACCGATTTCTGGCGTGGCGACGCGTCGCCACGCTATGTTATGAAGTATATATGCAGTAGTGTGTATGGTATGGCGACGCGTCGCCTTGCTCAGTCAAATTAGATTTTTGTATTTAATGAAAATAAATGTTACTATAAAAACAGTCATCATTTTCTTGAAAAAATCGAAATATTTTATGATTTTATCATTATGCCATATTTAGTTGCTATCGCAATATGTTCTTTTCTGCTCATTACTTTTAGAAAATAATGTCGATGTGTCACATCTACCAGGCGTCCCGTGACGGCTCACATTTTTTTATTTGTATGTATTCAATAATTTTATAGATTTATAAATTATCTAATATTTAGCGAATTAATCTAATATCTCTTCAGGTTTACCTTAAGAGCAACCAAGTCAAGTGGCTTGAGCTCAGTCAAGCTACTAGACACAGCCACCAATCGCAGCCGCTAGAGGCTCAGTGACGGCTGATGTTGATTATTATACCGAGACGTAGAAAACGTCGTCGAATTCAAAACCATAGACATACAGATCATCGTGGAGCTGTGGCCGAGTGCGCGCGCGATGCAAACGACAAAACGCGGCCACAAGTAGTGAGCTCGGGTGTTTCCTGTCCCGTAGCTTGTGGCCCGAACGAAGCCGCTAGTGGCTCAATGAGCGTTTGCACTAATGCGTTGCCAGCATTTCAGAAAGGGTGCTGTTTTTTTACTGCTGCTATTTTTTTTTTATAAATACTCATTACGATTTTTGCTTGTTACTTGCAGAGGAGTTCCAGTTCTAAGCTGTTCAGCCGCGGCAGTCGTAACAGCGCCAGCAGTGACTGCATCGAGATCATGCACCACCCCATCTACCGCATCTTCTACGTCTCCCACGACAGCTCCGACCTCAAGATCTTCTCGTACATCGCGCGAGATGGCGCCACCAACGTGTTCAAATGCAACGTCTTCAAAAGCAACAGAAAGGTACGTGTTTTATTTCGGCTTGTTTTTGGCGGGGATATCTACTTTTTCTTTCCCCGGAACATTATTGGGATATACTGTCTGCTGTGCTTGGTTTTAGGTGTGGAGAGTTGAGCCGGAGTTGGGACTATTACGTTATGTACCTATTTGATTGTAACCATTATAGCCTGCGCAGACGAGGGACTTTTGATCTCGCGGTGTTCTTTATCCGCCGAAATAGATCGCTTACAACTGCATCGAGTAACGCTTTTTTTGAGTGTGTATGTAAGTTTTTTTGTAATGTTAAATCATTTCCTTATCCGTTTATCTAATGAATGTAAATTATATACTTAACTCTTACTTATTTTCCGTATTACTCAAAAAGTCATCTTTTGCTTATGTTCTTTTTAGTAGTAAATAAAAAATCATTTACTTTTATTCGTCGACTATCTAAAATTGGCAGTGACTGTATGCAACTCTAAGATTGTGATATACACAAATGCAGTGCATATCCTTGTCTCATAATTTGTTTTACTTACATAAGTCACAGAACCAAATATGTAGGTGCCAGAGGTTAAATATTAATATCCTAACTATCTATACTAATATGTAGGTATTATAAAGAGGCAAGAGTTGTATGTGTGTTACAAATAAACTCTCAAACCTGATCCGATTTTGAAAATTCATTCACCATAAGGTAGCTAGCTACATTATTTAAATATTTTTTAAGCATTAATCTCAATAAGTTGATTAATCTGCTCGATTTATAAAACTACAGAAAGTTTTACTTGAAAAATTCTAACAACTTCTCCGAGAGGATTTTTTTTTTCTTTATAACTACATTATATCCGAGTGACATTAGGCTATATTCTATCCCGTTAAAATATATTTCGCCAGTGCAATGTTGGAGCGGATCACTAGTAAGTATAATAATATTATAGATGCGAAAGTGAGTTTTTTTTTGTTACGATTTCGCGCCCTAATAGCTAAATCGATTATGATAAATTTCCCTATAGAAATAGATGTGGCCTTGGTTCTAAGCTACATTATCGAAATATCTATAGGGGTAGGGTGATGGGAGGGGGGAAAATTTTATATAAATTGCTTCGAATTTTGCAGAATTACCTGCAGAATAATATGAAGTAATATCGTTAAAATAAACTCATGTTTTAATTAAATTTAAAAAAATATAAATACCTATTATTAATATTGTAACTTATTTTTCATCATTTAATAAGAAGGAACTTTGCCACAGTTTTATTGTCAGTACTTTGTATAGAATTAGATACTGTGAGTAGCCGATTTTTTTTCTTTTCCTACTAGGTTTTATCTACGTTTATAAACACCAAAATTCATCACTTTTCCCACCATTCCCGCAGTATACTCGTACTTCTGCATGGCACAACGCGCTATCGCTTTGTCATCGTAACATCGTTGTAACTTTTTAAATATTTGTCGAAATTACACAGAGTAAAAGGCAAAGTTTATCGTCTTTAAATATCAAAAGCGATAAAAGTATTTGTTTTGATAAAAAATAATTTGTTTATACAAAATATGCAATTTGGAAATTTATTTCAAATTATATTTTATTTTTGATTCACTATTTTAGCTATAGTGGCTTACACATTAAAAATAGATATATGCTGTCCTGGACTTTTTTGTAGAACTATATAAGAGATACAATTCCACCATATATTATATTCATGTAACTTTTATTGTTTTTGCAGTGCAGGCCAAAATGGCTCCCAAATGGGAGATTTTTTCCGTCTCACGTGACACTTATTGTTATATTTTGTACAATTCACCAAATAACAGCATAAATTATATTCTATATGCTATTATTATGTATGTATGAGCTTTATTATTGGTTAGTTTGATTAAAATCCATTTAGTATTTTTTGAGTAAAGAGTTACAAACATCCATACAAACGTAAGATTGAAATTAAAGGCGCAAGTGGTTAATATACAACTTTAAATCGTTGTAGATCCTAAACAATCATATAAAATGATAAATGATGTAAGGAACCTAAACATGATTTTTGATTATCTAGACAATGATACCCCACTCGACATACTTCGGCAACTTTTTTTTTTTCTTTCTCACAATATGGCGCCCAGTTGTCTCCATATTGATTGTTGATTATTTTCATATCTTTAGTAGCACTCCCATAATTAAGATGAATCGATTAATGTATAAATCATCAAAATCGGTCCACGCGTTTGGGCTCTAGTGTGCCACAAAGGAACAAACATACATATATAGACTGTTAAACACTATACCCTGTCTGCGCGTCGCGCTTCGCGCTCTTGCAATGCGCAGTCGGGTAAAAGGAACTTCTTTAGAACGTCTTTTGTTTTTCTAAAACTTCATGTTAATTACGGTACAACGCAATCTCGGAATGTTGCTTTCATACCGTGCGCAGTAAATTTCCGAACAACAATTGCTTTAAGTCCATGGCAAGTCCTCGGCGGACAATTTTTCTATGATTTGGGAACAAAAGTGTTTCGCGGCCAAAAGTCCCTCTTCTGCGCAGGCCGTTACAAGTATAGCGACGGTATGTATAAGAAATTCGTAGAATAAAGAAGACTATAATCTTATAATACACAATGACTTTGTTGGTTTAGAACACATATTACATAACACAATAAAGGCACAGACCAGAGTCTGTTGATTTTAAAGAATCAAAAAGGTACCCACCTGTCTATCTACCTCAATCTCGATTCATCAATGAAACTGGCAGAGCAGTCCAATAACAAAAGGCGGGTGGAACAAAGCAACAAATGAAACACTATACCTTGTCTGCGTGTCGCGCTTCGCGCTGTACCATATTTTTTTTTTGGGTTCCGGTGGTTATTCTTCGGAGAGTTACCAAAGAACATTTATTTGAATCAGATTATTTAGATGGTTTAGCCTTTTAGCATATGGATGTTTGTTTTTCGCTATTTGATACGAAAAACATAGGAGACTTTTATAAGTTACATTTTATTATATAATTTACATTGGGGTAAGTTAGTATTCTATTGTTTTTTTTTTGTAATAGGTCATTTGATAATTTTGGGTTAGAGATATGTAAATTTAGATAGAGTGTAGTTTTAGGAATGGAGTTTATAGTGTGAGTTATTAGCTGTTATTATATTCTTTCAGTGTGTTTACGATGGTTTTACATAGATCGATAAATGAATTTAAGCATGATTTCTTTTGCATTATCTCGGTTATAGTATAAGGATCGATTTGATGGTATGAGCAGAGGCGGGTATGTTCCGCCAGCGTACGTGTGTAGCGGGGGCATTCCCTTATTAAGTGGTTAAGCGTTTGGATTTTGTTCGAGTCACAGTTGCATTTGTCAGTTGCGGCTATCTTGAACCGATGTAGGTACTGACGGTGATAGCCGTGGCCGGTAAGTATTTCTGTAAGGTGGAAGCGGAATGGAAATAGTATCACCACACCACGCACTTTGTTTTTTGTTTGTTTACTGCAATTTGGGACAGCACTAATTGCCGCAAAGATTAAGATAAGATTTATTAACTTTTATTTTTATTTTCCAAAAATAATCTTATAATTATAAGTACTCCTTCATTTTATGTAGTTAGATACGTGAAGTCAAACCGATCGGTAATTGGCTATTTATACTTTCAAACTAAATATGAATTACTTCTACGATAGTTTACGTTTTTTATGCGCCAGCCCGTTGTCTTTAATATAGTTGATCGAAGTACAATACAATAAAAAAAAATGTCTTTTGTAAGGAGTAAGTTTACGCATACGAGTGTCCTAATTCGAGTGGGTAATGAGCTATACCCTGGCTCAGTCATATATGAGGATTGAACACTGGTTCAGGAACAGTGTTTAGATTTTTTATCGTTATACAAAACAGGGGATTTAAATTAATCAACTTCTTATTCAGAATTTGTAATGGAATATTTATGTTTGAATTGCACAATATTATCAATCAATCAATCAACTTAGCCAATCGCAGTCCACTACTGGACATAGGCCTCTCCCAATCTGTGCCACAAATTCCGGTTCTCCGCTTTTCGCATCTGATCTAGCCGCATTCCTCAAATCGGCAACGGCAACCGCGACCGCAACCGTGGCTGAGTATAGTGAGACTGCCGGGGAACTGGGTGCCGTCTCCTTGTGGTGCTTGCCATTGTAAGGGATTGAGTATTAGCTCATAGTCACCACGCTGGGCAAGCAAGTTGGTAACGCAAAGTATTGCTTCTCGCACTAGTGACACTACGGAGTTGTTCCTCAGTGGTCAACATTTTTTTTTGTTTTCTCTTCTGATCCAAGCTTCTGGAGGGGGGGGGAGGCATAGCGATGGTTTTTCAACTGACGTTTGCCCGTCACTGGTCTGTCATTTAGCTATGCTGGCCTGGTAATAGTAAACCGCCATTTGTCGGTCATAAGGCGTCGTTTGTTGGTCAGCAGGAAGCGCCGTAGGCAGGAGAGTTTGACTTGTGTTCCACAATATTAAGTTGCCTTCAAATGTCTCATGCCAGGGCATCACATAACTATGAATGGGTATTTGCTATTTGTGAACTTGACAACAGTCTCTCCTTTTCATTCTCTGTTGAGTGGTATATGGATAACGTTCAATCTAAATGACAAATAGCAAAAACGAATAGCCTTCTGAAGTGCCGGCAACGGTATAGGTATTTGTCACTGTTGCCAACGACAAAGTTTTGATTGCCGTATTTGTCAGGGGAAATTGTTATGTTTCTTGGAAAATGTTCGTCTGTTTTTAATTTATACTTAAATATACAAAACTCAACAATAAAAAACTCCGTGAATAAAATAATGTGGGTGGCAACCGCCAAACTAAATTTGTAACGAAAATGGAATAAACTACTCACTCTTTTTTTAGTTTTTATCTTGGGGGGGGTCTAGCTAAATATGACCTTTGCAAATTGGATTATGTGGTATACCAATTTTCCTTTAATTCGTCCAATTTCCGTTACACACGGCAATTTTTGTAGCAACAGCAACAGAGAAAGTAGTAATTAAGTAACTACGAGTATAAATCCTATTATCCGCGCGCCTTTTAACTTCTGTTGTCTACTTTTTTATGTTTTCGAGTAGGTTTTTGCTTTTTTAATATTGCCATTAAGTCACGATACCCCTTTTATTGCGATCGTACTGCCAGTGCATGCCGGGTTACGGGCAGAGGCGACAGTGTGCTGTGTGCTGTTTATGAAGACGGTTAGGGTGGATTCACACTGGAATGGCAGAGGCCGGTAGCGACGCGGCGAGAACATTGACACTGAAAGCAACGTGAAATAATTTTGAACTAAAATGCTCGGAAGTATCACGTTACCGCGCGCGATGCCGCCCGCTAGCGACACCGCGAAATCTTTTTAGCGACACTGGTATTTTTTTATTACAGAGGGCTGACGGTAATTGATGACCGTCGCCCATAGACACCTACAACACCAGGGGTATCACAAATGCGATGCCGGCCTTTAAGGAAGAAGTACGCTCTTTGTTTGCAGGTTTCCGGTCCTATTTTGGTCTATTAAGTATGTAGATAATGCTTAAAATGATTTCACACTGCTTTCAGTGACAATGTGTTCGCCGCGTTACTGCCGGCTTGTGTCACTCTGGTTTGAATCGACCCTTAGGGTCGTAAAAGAAGCCCAGCCGTAAAACCCAGCCGGCGTATCACTCGCCGACGTAACGCGGCTGTAAGCGCCTTTTATCACAGCTCACCACAGAGTCAAAGAATTCGAATTTCTTATTTACTGAACATCCCAACTTTTCCTATTCTATTTGAAGGGCTCGAAGTATGATGTGGTGCGCTCGAAAAACACTGGCCAGCATGATAAGTTTGCAATCGTCAATGTCAAACTTTCACAATGGCCGGTTATTGGATGTGTGACCAAAAATTTACTATTTCGAAGTTCTCTTGTAAGCCCATCAATTCTCCCCGAGCCCTCATGGTGAGTGATGGCCCATTCACCCTGTGCGATTTTGTTCATAGTTCGAAGTAGTTCGAAGATAACCTGTGCCCTTGCAGAGATGGAGAAGTAAAATAGGCAACCATAACTACATTAAAATTTTCGCTAATACTTCTAATGTAGATAATAAGACATGTTAAAATACTACAGTTATTTTTATTGTTAAAATATATTATTATATTTTGATACTAGCTTTTGCCCGCGACTTCGTCCGCGTTATCGTTGTTTTTCGTAAAAAAGTAGCATATGTCCTTCCTCAGGGTTCCGTGGTTTTGATGTGACAGACAGATTAACTTTCGTATTTTAGTAGGGAAATATAATACTGTTAAAAATATCGCAATAAGGAACCGCAGAATATTATTATTATCACTGTGCCCCGAGACCATCAGCGTGTAACTCCTTGTATGTTATTATGTTAATGTATTGGTAATATTGTTTAGATCGCTTTCACATGAGTCTTAAGTACATATAGAATGAAAATACTTCAGCGCAAAGCTTGCGGGTAGACTACGTTGAAATTTGACCCGTCCGGAACGTGAACATAAAAATTATTAATTTATTATTAATCTCAGATGCCTGGTCATTGCGAGGAGTTAAAATGGACCTTTCGCATAGCCAAGAATTGTTCTTATTTAATATATTTGTTACGTCACCGTAAACTGACGATGTAAGATGTTGTTGGGATTGCACTATACAACATAACTCAGGCGTCAGAATAAATTTTCCTTGGTGTAGCAGTGGATAGGTATCTTTGGTGAAGGTATTTTCTTTAATAATATATCAGAAAATTCACGATCATCCGGGTTATCTACAGTTCCCACTCGCATGTTTATAGTCAAATAAATAGTCAAATGCACCGATTGTATATCACGCCACAAATAAGAGCTTTTCAGGCAAGCCCTAACCTCAGCAGCTCGGGTTCCCCGTGGTATTACCGTTAAGGTTTGTCGGAAATCACCACAAAATAAAACTGTGATACCGCCCATGGGTCGATCATTTTGTCTTATATCTCTTAAAGTTCTGTCTACCGCTTCTACTCCTTTTCGATGGGCCATCGTACATTCATCCTATTACCGTTAACGTTTGTCGGAAATCACCACAAAATAAAACTGTGATACCGCCCATGGGTCGATCATTTTGTCTTATATCTCTTAAAGTTCTGTCTACCGCTTCTACTCCTTTTCGATGGGCCATCGTACATTCATCCTATATGATTAAATTACACTTTGAACGAATATTTAAACACTACCAAAACAACTAATACGTAGTCCTAACTTTAGCTACCTTACACATAAAATCTAAGTGACTATTTGAATTAAAATATTCTTATAGAATTATAATCAGAAATATATACAACTCACAACAAAGAAGAAATGAAAATAAAGCTGAAATGCCTGTGCAATACTATCTACCTATACCTCCTTCACTTAAAAATAAATACTTATAACTACTTTAATTAATAAAAGTACCTACGCTTAATAATTTTTAATTTGAACGAATATTTAAACACTACCAAAACAACTAATACCTGTTTTACAAAATAACAACAAAAGAAATTCAAATAAACTATTTAAAGACTAAAAGTCGCGCTGATAAGCACGGTTTCGGTCTCCCAGGCGGGGAGCAGATGAGAAATCCTCATGGATACCCTACAGCCGGCTGCAAGGTTATGTCAGACTCGTACTGACTAAAATCACCCGTAGGGGCTGCCTCTGGCCGGGAAGGCCTCTAAGGCTTCATCGGAAGCGATCGTCCCCCAGGGGGGGAGCGACGCAGAAAAAAGATTTAGACAGCTCGCTCTCGGACCTTTGATACCCTACCGCTGCCGCGACCCGTGTCGAGCGCGGCAACCGTTACACAAAAATAATCCTTATAGCATGATTCAGTATTCACGTGCGACGGTGTGATGGCTTATTTCATGTATAAGTTTGGTGTTTCTATACCGAGTATTATAAACGTAAGAGTAAACAAATATGATCAGAATGCTCCGAACTGCTAAGCTATCAGGAGTTACACGTGTTATTGTGAGTCAACCATAAAAGATAGACATATGCTGTTGCGGGATATTTTTTAGACAATTTTATGTAGAATATTTCCGTCATACATGATTTCTATGTAACTTTAACCATCAAGGCTGCACACGCCACGGAAGCTTAAAAAATGGAGTAACTTCTCCCGTTTTCCCAACATTTCCCTTCACTACTCTGCTCCTATTGATTGTAGCGTGATGAAAAGTATACTATAACCTGCCCAGGAGTATGAAGAATAATTGTACCAAGTTTCGTTAAAATCCGTCGAGTAGTTTTTGTTTCTATAAGGAACAAACACACAGACAGACAGACAGACAGACAAAAATTTTACTGATTGCATTTTTGGCATCAGTTTCGATCACTAATCACCCCCTGATAGTTATTTTGAAAATATATTTCATGTACAGAATTGACCTCTCTACACATTTATTATAAGTATAGATTTCCGTCATACATGATTTCTATGTAACTTTAACCATCAAGGCTGCACACGCCACGGAAGCTTAAAAAATGGAGTAACTTCTCCCGTTTTCCCAACATTTCCCTTCACTACTCTGCTCCTATTGATTGTAGCGTGATGAAAAGTATACTATAACCTGCCCAGGAGTATG